TTAAGTAAAATGTGGCATATATGCAAACAATGGAATATCACTCAGTAATGAAAAGAAGTGAAGTTCTGATACATGCTACAACATGGATGAACCTGAATATGTTAAGTAATCATCCAGAAATAAAGGGTCAAATATTGTGTGATTTACTCACATGAAATATTTAGAATTTGCAAAATAATAGAGACAAGGTAGATTAGAGGTTATCTGGGGCTGGGTAGGCAATCAGTGGGGAGTTATTGCTTAATGAGTACAGAGTTTCTTCTGGGGTAATGAAAATGCTTTGAAGTAGCAGTGATGCAAAGACAGTATTTTTGCTAAAATTAATACCACTGAATCATACACTTAGGTATGGTAAAATGGCATTTTTTGCTATAGACTGAATTGTGCCCCCTCCATTCATATGTTGAAACTGTAACACCCCATGTGATGGTATTTGGGAGATAGCTTTTGGGAGGTTTAGATCAGAGAATGAGGGCTGGGCCCTCAAGATGGGATTAGTGTCCTAATCAAGGAAGAGACCTTGCTTCCAGACCAAAGAGCTTGCTTTCTGCCCCACTTTTCTGCCATGGGAGGACACGGTGAGATGGCAGCTGCTTGCAAGCCAGGAAGAGAAACATAACCAGGAACCAATTCTGCCAGCATCTTGATATCGGACCTCTCAGCCTCCAGAACTCTGAGAAATAAATGTCTGTTGTTTAAGCCACTCATTCTGTTGTATTTTGTTATAGCAGCCTGAGCTAAGACATTTCATGTTATACACATTTTACCACAACAAAATCAATTGTATTCCTAAATACAAGCATCAAAGAGAGGAATTAAATAACAAAAAATAATACCACTTACAATGATATTAAAATATGTAAACCACTTAAGATTAATCTTTAAAAATGGCAGTTATCCCATGCTCAGCAATCTTCATATACTGCACATGCACCCTGCAGCCTTCTTGCCATAATACCTGTATATTTTCCAAAGATTGAACTGCCACAAGCTGTAAAACTCAGTTGCCTCATACTTTACATGGGGATAATAAAAGACTTGAATGAAAAAGCTAATAGTCATTATTTCTGAACAATGACAATATGTGTGATTTTAATTTTCTTTCATGTTTTCTTGTAGTTCTTAAATTGACTGACTGAAAGAAATCTATTTGAAGCCACTCCCCCACCCCGACCCCAGCCACACTTAGACAAAACTCACAAGTGTCTGAACTTGGCCCTAACATTTTTTTTTTCTAGGTCACGGTGCCCTACATTCTCAGAAAGTAGACCCAAACTACAAAACATATTCTTCTCTAGCCTGACCATAACCCACATCCAGGACAGGGTCCCTTGAAAAACCTGCCACTTCCTGCTCTATCTGGCCAAGAATCAACCCTCTCCCTTCACCCCCATGGGTGCAGCTGCAACCCTCTCACATCCTTAAAAATCTCCTAAAAGGCCCAGCCAGACAAAACTCCAGGCTGACATTTCTCCTGATGCCTGGCTCCTCCCCCGCCTTGGAGAGTGAATAAACTCTGTCCTGCTTGTAGCTTTACTCTTTGTGCAATTTTTTGTGCCCATGTCACCCACTTTAACACTAACATCAGAATAATTTTTTAGAGAGAAATGATATTGGTTGTTTAATATATTTAGAATTTATTCTTTTCTCTTAATTCCCACTTGATCTCTATTCTAGGTCTTCATACTTCCTGCATGAGCGTCCAATAGGTTCCACATTGTCTGGCCTTTCTATGTTGTAGTTCCTCCTGCACCCACAGCTCCTCCTCCTGCCCTTCCACCCCTCCTAAAGACTCTGGTGTTCTCTGTTGTCATTCCCATGAGACCTCCCTCACTCTAGCAGTCTGTGAGCTCAACACTGCCCCCCACAAAGCCCATGTCCTGTAGCTGTCGGGTAACTGTCCTGTGTAGGTACTTACTGCTTTCTAAACCCCTCTGTTACCTGCACAACTAGGGTAGTGATTCTTCACCTAGTTTTTTTCCACTGTGCCCAATCAGAAGCCCTCAGGCCCTGTCTGGGGCAGCAGCATTCTGTCATGGCTGCAAGCAGTAGCTTAGCTTTCACAACCTGGTACAAGTACTCAACTCTTGAAACCTCACTTTTCTCACCAATAAAATGGAGAAATTAATGTCTATGTCATAAGAATAGATGACAACAAAATAAAACAATCTGTGTAACTCAGTGGGAATAGTATGCTTGGCCTACATTAAACAATAATTTAAAAAAAAAATTAAAAAAAACAAAAAAAATAAATAAACAATAATTTTAAAGCAACTTGAATCAAACAAGAGTTTAGATCAGATGAGCCCAGGTTCCAGCCTCCACACAGCTGTTTGTTAGTCACGTACCCCCAAGCCAGTTTCTTAACTTCATAGATCTCAGTTTCCTCACTGAAAATGGGTGTAAGTATGATAATCCATTTATTCGTTTATTCATATGAACAACACCAGATTGTGTGGTACCTACATTAGGCACTGTGTTGAAGGGTAGGAATGCAAAGACAAGAAAGGAGCACTTCTGTCATCGGGGGCACATAGCCACCTAGAAAACAGACAGCAGAATCATAGTCCTGGCTACATATTGAAGTCCCCTGAGAAGATTAAAAAATCCTGATGCTGGGCTCTGCCCAGGAATTCTGAGAGGAGGTCTTGAGGTCTGGCTTTAGCATAGATTCAGAGCTTCCCCGTCGACCCCAATAAGTAGTACACATCTACAACTGCTGCTTTAGTCACTCTCAGAGAATTTCTTCACACCTAATTTGCTGCAGGACATTTCTCTCAGAGATTGTTTGATGTACTGAGGACACAGAGGTGGGGTGGTCTCCAATCCTGGGATAGGGTGTCCCAATTCCCACACACTTTATGTCAGCTCAAAGTGAGTCAGAAGTTCCACTGGAGGTCTGCTGGCTGGGTAGGCTCCAATCTCATCAATTTACAACTGATAACAAGAAGGAGTCTTCCCCAGAGCTAATGATGTGCTGCCCCTCACTAGGCTTTCAGCTGTTCCCAGGCAGCCTCTTCCAGCTGGGCCTTATTAATCAAGCATCCCGGCTCCTCTGCCGTGAAATGCAAAACTCATTTTAATAATACCTGTAAGTAAATAAGAGTAAATGACAGGAAGCTGAGAAATAGCTATCAGCAGCTTTCTACCCGTAGGCCATCAGCCCTTTCCCCCTGGAGCTGACTTTAGGTCCTAAGCAAACAGCCAGATATGGGGCGTTTCGTTCCTATTTCTAGACAGTAAGTCCCGTCTTGCCGGCAAGACATTTCCTTTCCTTTTCCTACAGTTTCCTTATAAAGTGCTTATTTTCAAAATCTTATTTGACATAGAAAATATGATTTCTGAGAGTTGCTTTCAAAAACTCCAGAAAAAAAAATGGGGGTGGGATACAGAATAAATAAGACTGGCAAAGGTTGATGTTTAATCGATGAACCCCAGTTTACTGAATCATTATCCTGGCTTTGGTGTATGTTCAAAAAATGCCCAGAATACAAAATTTAATGAAAGAAGCTATGGGGGAAAATTAGATTTTAGATACTACTCTTATAATTTTAATGTTTCAGAAAGGTTTGGATTTGTTATCATATAAACTCATGTTTTAAATCTTCTTATTCAAAGAAATATAATCCCTTAGATTATACATAGTTTTATTTTAGTGTACAAGTTATTTTGCCCAAAGTTTCCATTGATTTAAAGTCATAAATTATTCTTACTTTTACATATAACTAAATTATGTAGTTACTAAGTAATAACAATTAAGTTTAAAAGTATATTTGTCATGACTCCAGTTACACGTTTCCATGAAGGTGTGAGGTGTCTTCTTCCACATAGTTCCCCCAGCCAGGTCTGCTGGTTCTGACGTGGTCCTGGCAGCTCACACAACTAGTCCTTGGGAAGCTCACTAATTTCCTGTTGCTTTATATAATAGCCTTTTTAATAAACCTCACATTTAAAGGTCCAAAAATTAATCAGTATCAAAGACTATTTCATCCTTGGAGGAAGCATGTTATTTTTAGAAAGCCATTTTTATACTAAAATCACAACAATTTGCCCCAGAGCTTATTTTTATTTATTTATTTATTTATTTTTGCCTCAGAGTTTAAAGTATCCTCTTCAAAGATTATAAAAGGGTCCCAGTCCTTATTTTGGCAATCACTCCCTTCTTGGATTTAGAGCTTAACATCAGACCACCAATGGGGCAGTCACCTCAGACTGCATTCAGTGGCCTTCACAAACTAAGCACATTGTAGACTTCTCATAAAATCTGTACACTACATATTGAAGTTGTAACTGCTCCAAGGGACTTAGACTAAGCCTCTGTTGCCTCTCCTTTTACATAGGGGATAATAAAACACTTTCCCAGAGGCATGCTGTAGTAAATGGGTAATGTAGATGGTATATTCACCACCGTGCTGGACACAGAGAAAAGGCTCAGTCTGTGGAGGTATCAATACATCCTCAGAAAGCAGGTGTTGAAATGTCTCCCTTTATATTCATGATTCCCAGTCAAGACTTTCGGGACCCATGCCTGCTGGTTATGTTCCACACGATGGCTCCCTCCCTTCTCTATCTGGGCCCTTACCATCAAGCACAAAGGTATGCAATATAAAATATAAAATATAAAATTTCCATTTTCCTGTGAACATTTTTTTCATGCTGGGATTTTAATTTTGGGTTTTTGTTTTTTTCAGTGAGGAAAAGACTTGTTGCCTTAGCCACCAATGTTTGACATCAGGGTTGACCATTCCTGCTGCTTTCAGCACTGTTAACACTACTGAGGAGAGAATCAGGCCTAGTCTCCAGCCCCCACCCCGCCCCCGCCAGGTCTCATTGAGAGGACAGCCTGGAGGCTCAGCATGGGCCTGCCTGTCACAGCAGGTCACTGCCTAATGGGCTTCCACAGCAGAACCCAGAGATCTCACTGCTATTTCTCACAGCCTAGGGAACGGGTAGGAAATATCTGTATCTTCTTTCCTTATCCATCTTATGTCTTAATACAGTTATTCCAGGACCTGGAGTAAAGATACTTTTAAACACAAAACCCAGTAAGACTGGACTTCCTTGGAAACTGGTCTCAGCTAATGTATTGATTAGAGAAGGAGCTTCTCACACCAGACTTGCCAGTGTGAAAATGACCTGGAGCTACCCTGTCAGGTAAGGACACAGATCATCCAGATCTGAGAGTCAAGAGGGGGCATTTAAAAGCTTCCAGAATAAACTGCAATGCATGCACAATTGTTCCATCCCATTAAGGGACACAAAGACTTCGTTGGTCTCAAAATCTTTCTAAGTCATGACAACATTGACATGTTAACATTAACATATCTACAAGTTACAAAATGATGACATAATATTATACATTAAATACTGCATATACTTACATTTATATGATTATATGATTGCTTTACCTTTTAAACACGTAATTTTCTACCTATGCTTTTAATATTTTAAAATTCAATAATTTTCTTTAAATATTCTAGGCTTCTGTTTTTTGTCAGTTTGGCATTATGGAACATACACTTGGGAAACAACAGTAAGAAGCATTTTATTTATACTGTCTTTTTATCACATATTTATTTCTTAATCATTAAGTCTCATATTTTCAATGTTTTTAAAAGGTAACAGAGAAGAAATCAACAATGCTACAACCCAGAAGCTCCAGCAGAAAACACTCAACTGGACCCTGAATAATTTGGGGGAGGTGAACGGGAACGGAGATGGCTGGAGGCCCCAGGATACACGTCCCTACTTCCATGCTTTCCAAGATCGTAAGCCGTGATGTCGCCCAAAATACCTTTGTGGTCATCTCCATCAGTGGCTTCTCAGTCTAGATCTGAGAAAAACCTGGAGTAAATTAAGGATAAAATGAGAAATCCAACACAGCACATTTTATCATCTTCAGATGCTGCACTATAAAGTGGAAAATATTCCCTAGCGAGGTGTTCTTTTGCTCTGAAACAGGTTTTACTATTTCATTGGTAAAATGTTGCATTTGCTCATGTCTAGCGAACTGTGATTTAGATATATTCAAAACAACTCCTCCTCTCAAGATGATAGCAGACTTTTGCTAGGCTTATTGCAGACTCTCAGGCTCCAGACCCCAGGCCCTGGCGCGGGGAGGAGTCCCTCTGGCGGGAAGGAGGGGTGGGGGGTTTTCTTACAGCCATCGAACCCGTGGGTGGTCCCCGCCCTGGAGGCCTGTTTTTAATCATTGTCAGGGGAACTCGCAGCTTGACTTTAACATGTGAAGGGAAGGGAAAGAGAAAATCGTGCTTACAGTCGGGGCAGGGTTTCTCGCCGGGGACCTCGAACTGGTTCCTGACCCTCTGGTACCCCTGGCAGTTTGTTTTTGATCCTTAAATCAAGAAGTAGGGTTTACCTGAGCAAACACACTTGGCAGGGGGTTAAATTTTATTGCCTCTCCGAGGCAATCTCGTGAGGCCCTCCCGGGGATACACTAACGCTGAGGGCCGGACCGTCGGCGGACACTGATGCCCAGGTGCCCCCCGGTAGGTGCCTCCTCGCCGCCGCGCTGCTGCAGGAACGGCGGCACCTGCGTGCTGGGCAGCTTCTGCGTATGCCCCGACCCCTTCACCGGCCGCTACTGCGAGCACGACCAGAGGCACAGGTGGGCGCTTGCACCCGCGGACTGCGCGGTGGGCGGAGGCCTGGGAGCCCGCGCGGGGGCGGGCGGGGGGGGGCCGGCCCGGAGCGCGCGGGGGACAGGACGGGCGGGGCGTGGAGCGGAATGGGCGTGGGGAGCGCGCGCGAGGGCAGCGCTGACCCCGCGTCTGTCTCATCAGCGACTGCGGCGCACTAATGCACGGAGCCTGGACGGTCCGCGGCTGCCGCCTCTGCAGGTGTGTCTTCGCAGCCCTGCACTGCCTCCCTGGCCAGACACCTGGCAGCTGCGGTAAGAAGACCCGCGTCCTGTGCACACAGTCCACGCACGCGGGCCATTGCTCCTTTGTATCTACCAATTCGTAGAGGTCTAGCTGTGCCAGGCGACACAGAAATGAGCAGACTTAGAAAAGTCACATTCGTTGTGAATCACATGGCACATTATCATTATTATTTAAAAATATTCCTAAGTTTACTCTGCCCCAATTGCTTGGTTTAAATCTGATTTCCGAACACTGCCCTTTCAGTAAGCAGCATTTGGGGGAGCACACACGCTGGTAAGCAGAGCCAAGCCTGTCAGCTTGCCCGATGAAATCTCCAGTTGATGTCCCTACACCACACCAACACCATCTCCTTAACTGTGCAATAAGGAGGACACTGGGGCAGGACAGGAACAGGCACGGATGGCCAGGCGCCATCAGAGCCAAACAGACATTGCTCCAGAGAAGGAAGGTACCTTGTAACCACAGCCCAGGTGGGCCACGCATATTAAAAGCCAGGAGGGTGTGAGGAATCTACCGGGTAAACACTCCTTTGTGAGAATTCTGAGCAGTGAGCAAACTCAATGCAAATGTTTCACTTGTAAAGCTCAGTAAGGAATTGCCTGGGTCAGAAAACAGATAAAACACTCTGCTGTTGACCTTGGTCAGGCCTAGGGGCACAGGGAAACAAGGCACAGCATTTCAATCCCACTTCCTGCCTCCTCTCACCTCTTCGGCATGCTCCAACCAGACTCCAGTGAGGAGCACACTTAATGAACGCTCAGCTTCCAATCCTCCTCCTGCTCCCTCTTCTGCAGCCTTGGGTAGGATTAGCTATCAAGGGATCCTTAATGAAGGTAAAGCCCATTAACCTCACTTCCGGCCCCTCCCTCTCATCTAGCTGGGCGTGGTGTGGGCAATGCCAGTAGGGAGAGTGTAGTTATAGTACAGTATTGCAAAATGTTGCATCTTTTCCTTCGTCTTTCTGCCTACCACATTTCCCAAATCTTTCCCTCTCCTTCCACTTGCTGGGCTTATGCCCCTGACTCACTAGCTGCTCCTTTTGTGGCCCAGAGAAAGGAGGATGCAAACTAGGGAACAGGTATTGGGATTCCAAGTGGGACTTGTGTGGTCCTACAGGTGAAGTCATTTCCTGCATGCCATTGGTGCTCCCAGCTGTAATGTGGGGAAAGGGCCATCTGTGATCATGTCCAGTCTCCTATGCAAGTCCAGCTTGGGTTCAGAAGCAGCAGGGCAGAGACTAGATTCCAGACTACCTGCTTACTATTTTTATATCCTTGGAAACATTCAAGTCTGGGAATGCTATCTTCCAAGGACAGTAACAATGGCTCCTAAATGTAGCTTCTGCTCATCACAGTTGAACAAAATAGTCATTTCAGAGTAATTTTTCAGGTGCCGAAAGGACAGTAACACTTTTGTACTGTTTGATCCATTGATCCTTCCTCAGGGCATGACTGCAGTGGCCGTGCTGACAGTGGTTATGATGACATGAGAGATGATGAAGATAATGATGATGGCTCTCAGTATATTTCAGGCACTTTATACACTTTATTCCATTTAATTCTCTTAAGCCCATAAAGTAGGTATTATTATACTTTTTATATTTGAGGAAACAGGCTTACAGGAGTTAATTCCTAATAGCTAATAAACAGGGTCTGATATTTTTTCTTTTTTTTTTTTTAAGATTTTATTTATTTATTCAAGAGAGACACAGAGAGAGGCAGAAACATAGGCAGAGGGAGAAGCAGGCTCCCCATGGGGAATGCAATGTAGGACTCGATCCCAGGACTGTGGGATCATGACCCGAGCCAAAGGCAGATGCTCAACCGCTGAGCCACCCAGGTGTCCCTGATATTTTTTTCTTAAGAGATAATCACAAAAGGCTAATTGTTAATTTAGAAATAATATATTTTGTAACATTAGTTATTTAAAAATACTGTAAATAAACATACCATAGCATATTTATATAATTAATATTCTATGAATATTAACAATATTAATCTATGAATAAAACTGCTACCGTATTGAGATATAATTTGCAGATAACATTATATCAGTTTCAGGTGTATAACATAGTGATTTGTTACTTGTGTATATTGTGAAATGATCACCACACTGTCTAGTTAACATCCATCACCTCACATAGTTGTTTTTTTCTTGTGATGAGAACTTTAAGATCTACTCTCTTAACAACTTTCAAATATAATTTTATTAACTATAGTGACTACTATACATTACATCCCCATAAGTAATTTTACAACTGGAAATCTGTACATTTTGATATTTGATCCTCACCCACTTTGCCCACCTACCAGCCTACTAAGATTGGCAATCACCAAATTTCTTGTACCTATGAGTTGTTGTTTTTTTTTTTTTTAAGATTCCACATATAAGTAAGAGCATATGGTATTTGTCTTTCTCTGTTTGATTTATTTAACATAACACCCTCAAGTTCCATCCACGTTGTCACAAATAGCAAGATTTCCTTTTTTTATATGGCTGAAAAATATACCATTGTGTGTGTTTGTGTTATCTACATGTCATATGTTTTCTTTTATCTACATTTATATCATATTTATATCATTATATTTATACATATTTACATCATATATTTTCTTTGTCCATCCATCAGCATACACTTAGATTGCTTCCATATTTTGGCTATTGTAAATATGCAATGAACACAAAAGTACCTATATTTTTTAGTTAATATGGTTGTTTCCTTTTGAAAAATCCCCAGAGGTGGAATTGCTGGATCATATGGAGCTCTATTTTTAATTTTTTAAAGAACCTCCATACCGGTTTCCATAATGGCTGTACCAATTTACATTCCCACCCAACAGTGCAGAGGGTTCATGATGTGAATCTTAACTACTGTGCCATTTCTCTACTCTTCCTATAAGAATAATTATCAATATAAACTAAAGAAGATAATTTTGACAGTGTTATTTAGAATATTGAAAATATGGCCATATTATTTTTTATAAGATTTTACTTATTTATTCATGAGAGACACAGAGACAGAGAGAGACAGAGACAGAGAGAGACACAGGCAGAGGGAGAAGCAGGCTCCATGCAGGGAACCCGATGCAGGACTTGATCTTGGGACTCCAGGATCATGCCCTGAGCATGAAGGCAGACACTCAACTGCTGAGCCACCCAGGCGTCCTAAATATGGCCATATTCTAAATCTAACAGCAAAGTAATAGGTAATTGAATGTTTTAAATCCTTTAATAGGATGTTATGAGGATTTTGAAGAACATATGGAAAATTATGTTTATAATATAATTATAATGATGTGAAAGGATACATCTGGACGGGAGAATCACAAATAGATAACAACACATTACAAAATCATGACCCTCTTGGCACCTCCAGGGACCTGAGGGCCAAAAGATCTCCAAGGGCTCTTCTTGCTCTGATGTTCTTTGGGTCCAAGAATGACAGGCTTTCATAATCCCAAATATAATGTCTTTTCAAGGACCTGTTTTTCCATTCTTACTCAGAAGAACACTGCAAGTTTCTCAGTTTTCTTTTGTAAAATGAGGATAACCTATGCTCTATCCTCACATAGATGTTGAAGGATAAAATAATCTTGTTAGTGTGAGCTATTTTGCCATTTTTCTGCTCCGTGACCTAAAATAATGTTTTGTGAATAATAATTCCGAATATTGAATGGATGATCTTTGACCAATTATTTTATTTTATTTTATTTTATTATTTTATTTTATTTTATTTTATTTTATTTTATTTTATTTTATTTTATTTATTTTATTTTCTGTTTTTTTTCTTTGACCAATTAATTCCAAATACAGCTCCAAAGAAGAAATTGCTCCATATAAGCAATTATCTATTATTATATTGCAATTAAAAGAAATCATTTTTAGTATTCTAAAACCAGTATGCTTGAGGCAGGCAACTGTCATTATCTCTACCATTTTCTTCATTTACATTTCTTAATTTTGCATTTAAAGAGACAGTGTAGCATAATGGAAAAATCATGAAAATCCCTCCAAAATACGTGTTCAAATCCCAAAATATACTTTTTATAATATTTATGATTTTTATGAAATGTTGAATAATTTGTGTTTCAGTCTCTGCAACTGCAAAATTAGAGCTGAATATTTACCCCACTGATTTGTTAAGATGAAAAGGCACTGTACCTGTTACATATTATGCACATAATAAATTCTTACTTTATTATTATCATCAACAGTATTCAAGTCAATATAATGAGATTTTAAAAATTATTTTTTGATCTATCATTTATATACTGATGTGTGTTTTTCAGGTTGTGAACAACATTCACTAATTTAGGGGCATTAAGGGTTAAAAAAAAAAAAACAAGCTTCCATCTAGCAGGGTCTTTGCTTAGTGTTGAGCTGGGCCAAAAACTCATTATATTAAGAGGGTAATTCTTCCCACACATAGCCCCAAAGAATTATTTCATTAGCCTCAAGAACAAGTTTGGTGCCCTAAAATTTTAGGTTTAAGTTCTGACACAGTGAAGTAGCAAACTCAAGTACCTTCAGGGGTAAACAGATAATGTGAATGTCAGGTTGGGGTCAGATCAAGCCTCACCTCATGCTTCGAACTCAGTTTTTAAAAAGTACATTTCTGGCACCAACCAACCCAAACAAGCAAACAAACATTTTAGGGCCAGAACCATCCTGAAGGCCAATGGGAGAGATGGCCCTCCAGGGTCCTGGCCCCGGGTCAGCTCCAAGTGTGCTGTGTTGGAAAGAGAGACCCTTTGTTTTGCCTTCTGGGGACATTCTCCCATTGCCATTTCAATGCGTAAGATTCTCTGGGTGTCATGGCAGGAGAGGAAGCCATCTGGCTCCCAGAGGTATCTGCAAATTGGAAAGTTTTAGGAGTGCTGGATCTGGACCTCAATTCAAATATGACATTAGCCTCATTCAGGGTGGTCTCCAGACTTTTTTTTTTTTTAATTTCCCACTCCACTCCAGTAAAAACACTTGAGTATATTCCCCATTCAGTGGTAGTGAGACAGTTGCCATGCTGAGCATGTACAAACTTGAATTTACTTATATCTTCTTTTTCACATATGCACAGGATTAATACACATGATAGAAATCTTTGCTATGTCTAACCAAGTCTATAAAAGGCCTTTTGATAAGTATATAATAAAAATCCTAGATTATAGTCAGTCATCCACAGATAGCAGAGTTTCCCTCTTGGTATGATGTGAAATAATGGCTATAGAACAGTTGATTCAGTAGATTCTAATAAGTACAGTAAATATTAGTAAAGCTTAGTTTTAAATTTTCCTATAAATATATAGTTCTAGTATTTTCTCTCTAAGCTCAGTGGATGACCTGGGGCCTCTTGAGAGGGACATCACATGGTGCTCACAGCCCCAATTTGGTGAACCCTGCTTGCAGGACTGACTTGGTCTAGCCAAATTCACAAAGCTGACTAAAACAAAGGCCTTTGAATTTCTATACAAGAAATAACTGCCAACAGGGTCTTAATCCTTTCCTGTAGGCAGCCTATTTCCTTCCACTAGGGGAGAGTCAACACAGAAGCTCAGTATGGGCTGATGCCTTTCTCACTTGAATAGCTTCTTATGCTGTGAGCACCTGTTTTATTTAGCATCAGCTTTTCTGGAACATTCTCTGAGCCCAGAAGTTAAGTTTCCTGTTTTGTGAAGTTTTGGCACTCTGGAACAACCCTCTCCCAAGGTAAGGTGGTATGTAAAAGTGGTACCCAGGCCTAGAGTAGGCCAGACCTCAGTCTTATCCTGAATCTAGTCTCTTGGATGGTCCCACCATAGCCCACCTGTGAATAGGTATAGAATGGGTACCTGTTGCAGTTGCTTGTCATCATTACTTGTTAACTTCCACTGTTTCATGCTCACCACAGGTTCTCACATTCAGAGAGCATCTCCTGAAGGTATTGCAGAGGGCAGGACCAGGCAGGCCAGTCTGGGGTGGGGTCAGGGGGAGGAAGGTAGGAAGTATACCAGGTTGACCTCTGCCAGGCAGTCCTAGAGAGAAGTTCTCTGTAGTGCCTTTTCTCATCTGCATGCTTACCTGCCAAGCCAACCCCACACATAGGCCCAGATTTGCTTGTGAGAATGCTTTAGTGGAGTTGGCACCCTTGCCCGTGGGGCTTGGCAGCTTCACATAGTCATTATTCAGCAGGGACTTTAGCTGAGAGCCTGGGTTCTGCTACCCCAGGGACTCCCAGCTAACACCTTTGGGGTGGAGTCCCAACCATACAGAAAGCTGGACTCACAGACCCTTAGGACTAGAGTGAGACCCTACTGTTGAGGAACCACACTGTGGCAGCAAGGAAAGTGAGCACCTTGGGGTGCTGCACCAACCCCCAGAATGCTATGAAGCTGTTCATTTTTGTAACTTCCTCTGTAGAAGTAGTAGCCATTGCTTTAGGGATGGGTGCTTTCCTCCTGTTTAATAAGTAGTCCCTAATCAAGGAAATGGTATAAGGACTAATTTTGGGAAAAGTTGGACCTTCTTTGCAACACATAGATGCAAGTTGTTTTATTTTATTGTATTTCAAATCAGATCTATTTGCCCCTGATTGCTAAATGACTTGTGTGGAATTCTCTGAAAAATCACCTTTGGTCAGCTCATAAGTAAATGAGAGAGCTGAAGGGCTGTTTCTTTCTTAAGCCCTAAAAACAATTCTCTTTCAGTTCTCTAAGTTCCACAAAAATCCCATATAAAAGCTAAAGGAAGGCACAGCTTCCTTGAACAGCCACTCCCACAGTGGAGCTTCCTTCTGCTGCCAGGTGAGCCCACTGTTGGCATGGTGGGGCTGTGCTTTGGAAGGGCTCTGCAGCAGAGCCCCAGCAGCAAAGTCTAATGAGGAGGTTCCAGCAGAATAGGGCCTTTATCAGAGCAGGTGCAGACATCTCTATTTCAGTTTCTTAAAGCCAGTCTGTAACAATGTGTCTTACACACTTGGTATTTTTTTTCAGACCTGGAAGATTTTCTTGCTGCACACTCTGATGGACTAAGTGCACAACTAAGCTCACAACGCATGCTGAGTGTTCTCTTCCTCCTTCCGTGCTTGCTCTTACAAACCATCCTGAGTGAAGGGGGAGACTGCTAACTAAACCGTAGAGGACTTAATCTGCAGTTCCACACTGGCAGAACCTTGGCGTCACCAGCACAGCTTGAGTAAGCATGGTCCTCTATGGGAAAACCAGGACTTGTGCATCCTCTCATTTTCTGTTGTAGGTAATAGATTTTCTACATTTCCTATAAACTGAAGCATGAGATGAATATTTTTATTGTTCAATAAATATCCTCATGAAAGAGATTTTCTTGATTCTCTAAGTCTTATTTCAAGGGTCTGTCACTTAGACGCCTTGTGAGTAAACACTTGTGCTGGGGCCTATTCAACTCTAAATTATCTCTGATTTCGGAGTAAACTGAGCATGTGGCCCCTCCCAAATGACAACTATTCCTTGAGCACCCCTTCATCCTCCACACACATGGATAAACCATGGATAGGGCAATGCTGCACTGTTCGACTCCCCCACTACTCTCTAAGTCCTTGGGAGGCAGACATAGCACCACATGTGGTGTACTCTGGGTCTGGCAAAGAGCTGCAGCCTAAAAAACGCTTCATTGATAAGGAAGACAAGAAAGGGGAGGGAGGGTGAGAAGGTGGGAGCCAAGACTTGAGTCTGACAGCCTGTCAACCCACCTCCTTTTCTGTAGCTTCCTCTACTAACCAGCTCCTTTGTGACATGCTTTCCAGGGCAATTAGCACTTACTGGGATTATCACCAATCTCCTTAAAAGGGGAAGATTTTACAGAGCAGAACCCATTCTAAAGGCAAGGCAGAGAGAGAATTTAGCAAAAAGGGTTACATGCTCAGGTTCTAGGCTAGCCCTCCTCTCTTGGAGTCCAGTCATCTGACAGCCAGCCAGGCAAGCACAGCTTACTTGCAATAGTCCAGCCACCAAATCTTGTTACTTACTCAAACTTGCACATGCTGTGCCTTGCTTTTTGTCCCCAAATCTGCCTTGCTCTGTTGAGCCTGGGAACAGTTTACATATAGTGATTGCGTAGGGAGATGAACACATGAGAGGAGGGTGATAGGTTTCTTAAAGCCTTGGTGGGGGGAGCTTTGAAACAACCCCAAGGGATGTATTCTTCTGAACAATGAGATGCCATCCAGAATCTGGTATGATGGGATATATCAGTTTAGATCAAGACAGACGTTACCATCTAGTCTCCATTAAGTTTCTATAATCAATGTGTAAACAAGGAATAGAGAGTGGAAAAGGTAGTTAATGATTAATCATACATGGGGCTGAGAGGAGCATAAAACATAAGTAAGGAACATAACAGAAAAACGACATAAAACTAAGTTAATAAGGTAATTCATACAATTATGGTACTGCTTATGCTTTCAAAACAGGTCCAGCAAGCATCCAGCCTCAATCTGAACCCCAATCTGAAATTTGTGAAAAAGTAAAGGGACTGAAGGGCCCATCTTGTATCAGTTGCATAGCACTTGGGAGTCAGGCATTACTAAGCTGGATCTGTCAACTACATTAGCTATCTAATAATCACAGCCCTGTTTGAGCAGTTACTCAACTAGAACTCAGATGAGTGAAAACAAGAATTTACATTATTCAGGTAAATAAGAATAAAATTGAAGCAAGAAAAGGACTCTGGAATAGATAAAACAGTCTGTATTAATATATTAATTGATCAAGATATTGATACTTTATAAGGCTTATGGAATTTCATTTAAAATGTTCACAGCTGGGGGTGGGGCAAGACGGAGGAGTAGGGCCCCCAAGTCACCTGTCCCCACCAACTTCTCTAGATAACTTTCAAATCATCCTGAAAACTTTTGAATTTCACCTGAGATTTAAAGAGAGAACAGAAGGGGAGGGGCAAGATGGTGGAAGAGTAGGGTCCCCAAGTCACCTGTACCCACCAAATCACCTAGATAACCCGCAAATCATCCTGAAAATACGAATTTGGCCTGAGATTTAAAGAGAGAACAGCTGGAACGCTACAGTGAGAAGAGTTCGCGCTTCTATCAAGGTAGGAAGACGGGGGGAAAAGAAATAAAGGAACAAAAGGCCTCCAAGGGGGAGGGGCCCCGCGAGGAGCCGGGCTGAGGCCGGGGCGAGTGTCCCCAGGACAGGAGAGCCCCGTCCCGGAGAAGCAGGAGCTGCACCAACTTTCCCGGGCGGAAAGGGGCCCGCAGGGAGTTGGAGCAGGACCCAGGAGGGCGGGGATGCCCTCGGGCTCCCGGGGACACTAACAGACACCTGCGCCCTGGGAGAGTGCGCCGAGCTCCCTAAGGGCTGCAGCGCGCACGGTGGGACCCGAAGCAGCTCGGAGGGGCTTGGGCGGCGGCTCTGTGCAGAGGGGGCTGCGGGGCGGGAGCGCGAATCCAACAGCGCAGGCCCCGGAGCACAGGGCGCCGGGACACAGCCTAGGATCCGGCCTCCCCCAGGACAGGCAGAGGCCGGGAGGGCCCAGGACAAAAGGATGCTCCTGCCCGGAGCTGAGCAGATCAGCGGCCCCACCCCGGAGCCTCCAGGCCCTGCAGACTGAGAGCTCTGGAGCTACTGCGGGAGCTGACTCCAGGGCTGCAGAGCTGGCCCCGCCACTGCGGTTGTTCCTCCTGGGGCCTCACGGGGTAAACAACCCCCGCTGAGCCTCACAGTGGCCTCACCAGGTAAGCAGCTTAAACTTTACTCACTGAGCCCTGCACTAGGCAGGGGGCTGAGCAGCTCCCCCAAGTGTTAACACCTGAAAATCAGCACAACAGGCCCCTCCCCCAGAAGACCAGCTAGACAGAAGGGAAAAACAAATTATTGACCAAGCTGCACTGGAGTGTTCCAGGGGAAGTCAAGGGACTTACAGTATACAGAATCAGAGGATACTCCCCCTTGTTTTTTTTTTTTTTATTTGTTTCCTTCCCCCACTTTTTTTTCTTTTCTTTTTTTCTCTTTTTCTCTTTTTTTCTTCCTTTTTTTCTTTATTTGTTTTTCTTTCCTTCTTTCTCTTCTCTCTTTTTCTCCTTTTCCGAATACAACTTGTTTTTGGCCACTCTGTACTGAGCAAAATGACTAGAAGGAAAACCTCACCTCAAAAGAAAGAATCAGAAACAGTCCTCTCTCCCACAGAGTTACAAAATTTGGATTACAATTCAATGTCAGAAAGCCAATTCAGAAGCACTATTATAAACCTACTGGTGACTCTAGAAAAAAGCATAAAGGACTCAAGAGACTTCATGACTGCAGAATTTAGATCCAATCAGGCAGAAATTAAAAGTCAATTGAATGAGATGCAATCCAAACTAGAAGTCCTAACGATGAGGGATAACGAGGTGGAAGAACGAGTGACATAGAAGACAAGTTGATGGAAAAGAAGGAAACTGAGGAAAAAAGAGATAAACAATTAAAAGACCATGAGGATAGATTAAGGGAAATAAACGACAGCCTGAGGAAGAAAAACCTACGTTTAATTGGGGTTCCCGAGGGTGCCAAAAGGGACAGAGGTCCAGAATATGTATTTGAACAAATCATAGCTGAAAACTTTCCTAATCTGGGAAGGGAAACAGGCATTCAGATCCAGGAAATAGATCCCCCCTAAAATCATTACAAACCGTTCAACACCTCGACATTTAATAGTTAAGCTTGCAAATTCCAAAGATAAAGAGAAGATCCTTAAAGCAGCAAGAGACAAGAAATCCCTAACTTTTATGGGGAGGAGTATTAGGGTAACAGCAGACCTCTCCACAGACACCTGGCAGGCCAGAAAGGGTTGGCAGGATATATTCAGGGTCCTAAATGAGAAGAACATGCAACCAAGAATACTTTATCCAGCAAGGCTCTCACTCAGAATGGAAGGAGAGATAAAGAGCTTCCAAGGAAAAAAAAAAAAAAAAGAGCTTCCAAGGGAGGCAGGAACTGAAAGAATATGTGACCTCCAAACCAGCTCTGCAAGAAATTTTAAGGGGGACTCTTAAAATTCCCCTTTAAGAAGAAGTCCAATGGAACAATCCACAAAATAGGGACTGAATAGATATCATGATGACATTAAACTGATATCTTTCAATAGAAACTCTGAATGTGAACGGGCTTAATGACCCCATCAAAAGGTGCAGGGTGTCAGACTGGATAAAAAAGCAGGACCCATCTATTTGCTGTCTACAAGAGACTCATTTTAGACAGATGGACACCTACAGCCTGAAAATAAAAGGTTGGAGAACCATTTACCATTCAAATGGTCCTCAAAAGAAAGCAGGGGTAGCCATCCTTATATCAGATAAACTAAAATTTACCCCGAAGACTGTAGTGAGAGATGAAGAGGGACACTATATCATACTTAAAGGGTCTACCCAACAAGAGGACTTAACAATCCTCAATATATATGCCCAGAGTGTGGGAGCTGCCAAATATATCAATCAATTAATAACCAAAATTAAGACATACTTAGATAATGATACAGTTATACCTGGGGACTTCAATCTAGCCCTTTCTACACTCGATAAGTCTTCTAAACACAACATCTCCAAAGAAATGAGAGCTTTAAATGATACACTGGACCAGATGGATTTCACAGATATCTATAGAACTTTACATCCAAACTCAACTGAATACACATTTTTCTCAAGTGCACATGGAACTTTCTCCAGAATAGACCACATACTGGGTCACAAATCGGGCCTGAACCGATACCAAAAGATTGGGATTGTCCCCTGCATATTCTCAGACCATAATGCCTTGAAAGTAGAACTAAATAACAACAAGAAGTTTGGAAGGACCTCAAACACGTGGAGGTTAAGGACCATCCTGCTACAGGATGAAAGGGTCAACCAGGAAATTAAGGAAGAATTAAAAAGATTCATGGAGACTAATGAGAATGAAGATACAACCATTCAAAATCTTTGGGATACAGCAAAAGCAGTCCTGAGGGGGAAACACATCACAATAAAAGCATCCATCCAAAAACTGGAAAGAACTCAAATACAAAAGCTAACCTTGCACCTAAAGGAGCTAGAGAAGAAGCAGCAAACAGATCCTACACCCAGCAGAAGAAGAAAGTTAATAAAGATTCGAGCAGAACTCAACAAAATTGAGACCAGAAGAACTGTGGAACAGATCAACAAAACCAGGAGTTGGTTCTTTGAAAGAATTAATAAGATAGATAAACCATTAGCCAGCCTTATTAAAAAG